CCCCCAAGTTTATATCAAATTCTGTATGAACAAATTCTGGTAACACTTTATTTTAAGGTGTCCTTGTCACACGTTACATGTACTTACTATTATAATAACAATTAATTATGCATAATTAAATGCAAGTAACCCTAAGCCAAACCCTAACCATATAGTAAGTGCATAATTGATATTACTCAGTACGTATATATGTATAATTACACTGTAACAAGGACACCTTCAAATAAAGTGTAACCCAAATTCTATATATTTAACCATTACAGCATAATATATTGATTGTAGTCTTTTATCAGTTACAGATGATGGATAATTGTTATCAGGTTTACAGTACTCCCCATTTTATCTGTAGTTTAGCTGTTAAGTTTAGCTGTTAAGAAGACAAAGTATAATTCTTTTTTAACACATCCAGACGAAAGCTCAATAAACACCAGCCATGGCTCAAACTGCCAGCAGTGGTGTAAACAGAGACGGCACAGAGTTTCATTGTGTTAAAGTGTCTGGCTCATATTTTTTAAGTCCACGTGCTCCAGATTTGAAATATTGTACGTTTCACTCAGTGAGTGCTGGAACATTCCACAGGACTGTGAGCACAAACTGAATCACATGAATTAAACCCTCAAAACAGCTTTAATCTATACACGTATAATAAATCTAACCTTGGGTCCATCTATTCATTTTGATTGAACGATATTATAAAAGGGGTGGTTGATCATATAACATGATGAGTTAATAAGAGTGTGACATTTTTACATGGTCATGAGGACTTGTCTTTGAAGATTTATGAATTCATATTTATTACCAGTTAAGCAGATCACTTAATGTATTGCTTTGACGTCACGATGAGCCTGTAATATATCTGTCTAATGACAGTTATTCTTTCTTCACAAGATCTGGGCAAAGATTGACTCTGTGTGAAAGGAAGCAGTTTTCTTTCACTTTAGTGGAAAGAATGTGTCGCTAAATGAATAATTATGTTTTTATGGGAGTGCATGAGTTAAAAAAAAAGCACTTCTACTGATATTTAGGTAATGGTTCCTCCCACAGGGAAGAATGTCTTACCAGGCATGATGGTCTTCTTACACTCCTGGCATTTGGAGGAGTACTCATTAGAATAGCACTCGGTGCACAGCAGCTGCTCGTCTTTAGTGGAGAAAGGCTTGTCCACCAGTGAGCGCTTGCACTGGAAGCAATGGAAACAGTCCTCATGCCAGTGATGGTCCTTGTAGGACAGATCCTAAAGCAGCAAAAGACATACTTTGATGACAATTCTGGTTGAATTAGAGATTGAAAAGTACCTATGGACCACCCGAAGTTTGTTTGATGACCATCTGATGCACTTTCCAGATCTGCAAGCTTTAATCTGATTGGCTGGTTTTATGTAACTTCATATATGGCACTGCATATGGGTTAAGTGATGTTACCCTGCTGTTGCAGCCGATGGGTTTCTTGCACTCCTCACAGGTGTTGGAGTACAGGCTCTCATAGCACTTCACACAGTATGGGTTTTCCTCACGAAGAACATACTTCTTCCCAAACAGAGACTCCTTACAGTAGTGGCAGTCATAACGCTCTGTCATCTTTACTTCTGCCTTTCAGTCCTGGGATAGAGAGTATGGGTATGAGGGGATGTGCCAAAATGCTTGAACCTCTGAGAAGATGATTGCAATTTTTGTTTATATTTATTAGGCTCAAACCATAATTAACTATTATGTTGTGAGATATTCACATCTGATGCACTTTCCAGATCTGCCAGGTTTAATCTGATTGGCTGGTTTTATGTAACTTCATATATGGCACTGCATATGGGTTAAGTGATGTTACCCTGCTGTTGCAGCCGATGGGTTTCTTGCACTCCTCACAGGTGTTGGAGTACAGGCTCTCATAGCACTTCACACAGTATGGGTTTTCCTCACGAAGAACATACTTCTTCCCAAACAGAGACTCCTTACAGTAGTGGCAGTCATAACGCTCTGTCATCTTTACTTCTGCCTTTCAGTCCTGGGATAGAGAGTATGGGTATGAGGGGATGTGCCAAAATGCTAGAACCTCTGAGAAGATGATTGCTGTTTATATTTATTAGGCTCAAACCATAATTAACTATTATGTTGTGAGATATTCAGATTTCTATTTTTAAGATACCGCTGTCTTGTAAACTGTAAATAAACGGAATATTTTTTACATTTGTAATACATTTATATAGAAATACATATTCCTCACTATTTTCAGGTCACTTATGCAACGATTGTGAAATTATTTCCAGATGTTCTTGCTTGAAGCTCAAGATGCTCTTTGGATCAGCTCAAATCATGCTGGAGAACATGATCATCTGGAATTCATGCATCATTAAAGCAGTGTTATTTTATTTTTATTGATATGCTATTTTAGTTTATATTAATATTTTGAATTAGATTTATTTATATTTTAAAGTTCTAGCATTTTTGTCATTTTTATATGTATTTTAAAACATTTTTAAAGTATCTCTATGTAGTTTGAATTAAGTTTTACATTTAGGTTTAGTTTTTTTTGTTATTTTAGTACTTCAACTTAAATTCAACAAAAATGAGAAATATGGCCTGAAATAAAATATGTTTTGAAATATTTAATTTTATTTCAGTTAATGTTTATTTTAATCTCTATGGTTTTAGTTTTGGTTAATTATAATAAATAAATACATTTCCCATTCAACATCTAACTCAAATTTGTTATGATAATAATCCAATTGAGAAAATTATTGAGCCAATTTCATACATTTTGCAACATTTTTACATTAAACTCCTCATCGGATTGTATGGATTAAATATATATGATAATGGTTTTACAAAAATTCAGAAAGAAAATTTTGAATAGAAAGAAATGTTTTGAGATGAGGGTATATACAGTAAATATGTCTTAGTGTTTAACGAGATATCAGATGTTGCTAACCATAACATCAGAACCTCAAGCATCAGTCAGATTCACTCTCTGCGTGGGTGACAACGATCAGTCATTCTCAGTGCTGGATGGAGCACACTGGAATTCCACAGTGTAGTACATCATAGTATCGTAACCAGCCTGTTATCTCACCTCCAGCTGTCAGCCATTATATTGTGTATCAGCATGTGTACGTAAATGTGCCTCTGCTGGCATGGATGCAATTACCTATAAACATCACTATGAATGGACTTGTTTCTGAGAATATTCCATCTTTCCTGTAACAGGCCAAATTATTCTATTGTTATAACTTTGGTCTGATTTTAAGACTGATCTGAAAGCAAATCATTCAAAGAAACGCTGGTGTCCAGTGTGTATCGTATGTCAGTTTTATTGAAAGAGAGATTGTGATTTCTTCTAAATTATTCAAGTCATCTACTCACTGGTCTGTCTGAGTCCTGGACCTGTTAAGCCTCTCTGCGTATTGTTCCCATGAGCCCTGTGATGCTGTGTGCCGCCGTCTCAAGCGTCCCCAGTGTCCCGCACACGCTCTCTCCCTGCTCCTCAGCCCCCTGCTATCCTGTTGTGAGTGTGTCTAACTGAGCCCTCGTCCAGTCCGGGCTTCGCTACTAGCTACACCAAATCCCCCTCGACTTGTTTTACCATAAAAGGCAGCAGATGGAAACCAGGAGAAGCGGCTCTCTTGCTTAAAATCCTTCTAAGAAAATTCTTTGACTTGCACAGTCAGTCCTTCACTCCCCCCTCTTCTGCTTCCTGTTTGTCTTGCCCTTTTCTGCTGTCTCGCTTCTTCAGGCTTTCTCCCTTTCTCCATCCAACTGGCAAGACATCTCAATTCTTTCCATTAGTTCCTTCAACGTCTTTTCACACTAACTATCAAAAAAGCATACGGCAGGTTATTCTGACCATAATTTCTTGTGGAAATAGGTTGTCCATGGCTCTAAGCACAAGTCTGACCATGACTGGTCAAGATATTTTTTGAATAATTAGTCTGTTGAACTAATATTTTGTGTGACTAAATACTAATGTTATTTCTTTTCTCTTTTTTTAGCACTTTTGCTCCCGACTAGACAAAATCTTGCCTTGCCCTTTGGTTGAGAACCACTTCTGTAAGCCTCCAAATCCAGAGCTGTTTTTGGAAATGTACAGTACTTACAACTTTGCATTAGACATATCTAAATGTAGGACACTGATGTACTCAAGCAAGCAAAATAAAACATTGTTTGGAGAGAAACTTTTTTTTTCATTCATAAAATATCGTGCAATAGATCTAAATAAAGATACTTGGCTTTACTTTCATAGTTCATTCGTCTGTTTCCTCTTATGTTGTCAAAGGAAATCTTGTTATTCTAATCTTGTATGTCTTTATTGCCCTTTTTAAAACAGTCTCCACTTCAATCCAGTAAATATAGAACCCTCACTATGATTGCCTGCAACTACCCTGTAAAATCTGACAAGACTACAATAATTCAGCTGAAGAATTAAGATGGATAAGCATGTATGTTAAAGCCTAAATGTCAAAGTTATCCTGTATGTCAATTGAATCATTCTTGACGGTTTGTAAAACCTTCTTTTAAGCTAATACTCTTTAGTTTTTGAAAAATTGTCACCAGCACGCTTGATCTAAACTGATCTCCTCTAACAAGATCTCTCTTGGGCATGATTTGGTATTTCCCTAATCTCTCTTTTTATAATCCTCAGTCCTGTTTGGAGACATTTGCGGGTGTCATCACACAAACAATGCTAATTTAAAGTATAGCAGAGGTCGGAAAGATAAATGGGAAGCTTTTAGACAACACTAAAAAGAGAAGCCAGACAGGTGGATGGAAGACTAACCCTCCTGAGATTAAGACCTTGTGTTCGCGCCCCACACACAACCTTCACACCCCCGTTCCTGCTCCAGCTCAATCCATATCCATGGAGAGAGTGAGGCTAGAGTCTGACCACCCATCATGACTCTATAAATGCCCACCGTGCCTTTTATCTTCTCCATAAATGTTTTAAGAGAGATTTATAGCTGCCATAGTCTTTGGGGTGTCACAGACAATGGCTATGGTAATCTGTTATCACAATACCAAGCCACTGTGAGACGAATTCTTTGTTAAGAGATTCAACTTTCTCAAATTAAAATTTTTTAATTAATAGTTTTATTTATTATTTGATACATTAAATTGATTAAAAGTGACGGTAAAGACATTTATAATGTAACAAAAGGTTTCCATTTAAATAATACTGTTCATTTGAACTTTCTATTCATTGAAGAATCTTGGGAAAAAAATAGTATCACGTTTACACAAAAATATCATGCAGCACAACTGTTTTCGCCATTGATAATAATAAGACATTTTTCTTAAACAACAAATGAGTATATTAGAATGATCATATTCTGAAGGATCATGTGACACTGAAGAAATGACTATTGAAAATTAATCAATTACATTAATTCAAATAGAAAACAGTTATTTTAAGTTGTAATAATATTTCACAACATTACTATTTTTACTGTATTTTTGATTTGTAATTCTTTTTTTTGGTCTAGAGTAGTGACATATTTAGCAGACGTGACGACAGAGGCATTGACATGACAGATACTAGCACAAATTTGAGTGATTCTGACAGAGAACACAGGTTTAGTGATGGATGGTAGTTGTATCACTGCTCACGAGTGTGATTTGGTGTTAGTAATCTACCTGTATTGACGTAAGCGCCTGTGGTTCTTACCTCAGCAGAAGAGCTCTCGATCTGTGTGAAGAGTCTGGCCAGACTGAGCGTGGAAGCTCTCGGCTGGGGCTGTATGCTCTCATGATTAAATTACTCCACCTATGGGGTGACTAATTGGAGCGTAGGGTTTGGGCAGGCTTTTTTTTATCAAGATGAGCTATAAATACAATAGAGCAAATCTGAAAACACCAGCACATAAGATAAAGCCCATCTGCACATAATCACACACACACACACACACATACATTCCCTCTTAACTCTTCAGTCCAGTGTCCTTTTAAGGCCTCATTTAGATTTGTGATAATTACATTCATTCTGAAATATATATAAAAAGATTTTAATCTATTACAACAATTAAAAAATATATATTTTATGACTTTTTTTGTCTTGTTTTCTAGTAGAAAATATCTAAAAAAATATCTATTCCTGAAACATGCTTGAAAAGCGAAATTGTCTGATGATATTAAGACTTATTTTCATAGAATATATCTTGAATTAAATGTATTTTTCTTAGTCCACTGTCATTTTTTGTTTCTTGTTCAAGCATAACAGTTTTGTTTAGCTTAAAAAAGAAGAATATTTTTCTTGTGGATGTGGTTTATAACTTAGAATGTAAAAAGCGGCTGCTCTTCATCTACAGGTATAAATCTTGCCATTTTTCATTTTTATGTATCAGAGTATTCAATCTTACATTTAAGTTCATGCCATTGTCACATAGCTAATTTATGAAAGCAAAATACAAGCATGGTCAGAAAAGTGATTGGACCCAAAAGTATAATTATGTAAAAAGAATTCTGTTTCATAGTAATAACTCTTGTCTTTATCATCTGCATCTTATTCCCTCGCTTCATTTATGCTCCTCAATCATTTGTGAGAGAGAAGCAGGCCAGAGCAAACAAACAACTTGGGAAATGTTTACAGCCCTCCTCTCTTGCAATGGGCGTTTTTTCACTATTGTTACTGA